TTCTTCATATACTCAAGGAAAATCCACAAAAGTAGAAGATTTATCAAACTGATAATAAGTAATCATAAACTTTCAAGAAATATATCACGTTTAGTGAACAAGAAGGTTCAAAAGTTATATTTCAATATAACAGTAACCCACAATAATAAAAAGAGATCTCACAAAAAATATGAGTAAAAAATAATAATTATAGGATAAGAGTTTTCAGATACGCGAAAGAATCGTGAACAATAAATAATGTACAAGAAAATCAACTACAATACAATTCCATAATAGTAGGCACTCTTATCATCGAGTTTTCTCATCTGTTCAGTATAATTTCCTACGCCACTGAAAGAAACAGATAAGGCAGAAACGTCAGTCATTTCTGAGAATTTAGAGCCTACTATTTGTGAGTTATGGTATAAACCAGTTTATAATAACAAATATTACAAAGGAAAATTCACCAAATATTCTATCAAGGAAAAAATTCTCAAATTTGAGGCAAATATCAACCAAGAAGGAATCTCAAGGAACTACAGGAAAAAAAGAAAAGATATATCAATGAAAATCCGTTTTTTACATAACTCTCTCCGGATAACTGTCAAACAATTAGTTGAATGTAACAACAAAATGACTTCCATAATGACCGATTAAACACTCTGTGAACCTATAAAAATGATGAAGTCTTTTTAAGTTGCTCGTGAAATACGGCGCCATATTTCAACGTTAAGTTGGCCAACCATCGTCTCGATACCCTTGTAAGGAAAGATTATTTACATAATATATTCTCGAGGTATTGGATATAAGATATAACCAGAGGAATTGATTTTATTTTATGGTTATCTGACAGACACGAGATTTCACGAATACTAGATTGAGAGGTGCTTTAAGTGACAAGATTATATTTCCCTATACAGTTTTCTCAATTTAGTACACGCAACTTCAATAGTAAATCCTGTTTGGATATTACTTCGAGCGTATGATAAGGAAAAGAGCATATGTTTCTACTTTTCGACGTTTATTCCTATTGAGTAGTACAAAGCAGTTGTACAAAGCAGTCACCTTATGGTATGCCACATAAAATTTATATGGATTTCGATGTCACGAAGTACATAAAATAAGTCCCTTCTTGATTAAAGACACTTAATACTTCTTTCATTTTTTATGGCGTTCTGTACCAGCAGATTTCTGTGTTGCCACCTGGAGATACAGTAATGTGAAGGTAATAAAAATAAATATCATTCAGAAATGAAGAGGAAGACTTGTATCGAAATACTCCTAAATACATCCAATAACTTCAAAAATTCTTGAATTATTGCTCAATCAAACGACTGATTTCCTCATCATCTGCGATATACATCAAGAACTCTACTCAACAGACGATCTGCTTCTCATGTCTTGAAAAGTGTTCTGAACAATTAATTTTCTGATGTTTACCCAATGCTAAGTTTCTGCTGCATTAATAACTTGATATGTCATTGATTTGGTTTTTTTCAAATAAATAGTATGCACACTAATTTTCAATTAACTGAATAACTCAATTAGAGAAATATATTCTTATATTATCCACTCCTCAGAAAAAAGACAATTCAGAATGTGATACAAAATTTGATAAAAAAATTGTTCACAAAATGATTTACACTCGAAGTTTTCGACAACGATAAAAACATATACCTACTCTACACACATTTTGACAAATGCTTAAGTTTCGCTATTTTTCTCGAACTCCTTCGTTTTTTTTTTTTGGAAATTGTGAATTAGTTCATTTCTCTGAATTTCGAAGTGGATTCATTTTACCTTTGATTATTCAAATGTTTTTTAAATTTATCTTGTCAAAAATCACATTTCTATTATATTGTTGATTATACTCACATTAAAATATTGACTTTCTTAATGAATTTAATTTAACGGTTTTTTAAAAGTTAAGCGAATAAGAAACGTACACCGTTGGAATATTCAAACGTGTAGAGAGCCATATAGAGCGATATTTGCGAAGCAGACGACATACTAAATAATGCTAACATATGGTATAGAAACAACCAATATAGAGGTATTTATCTCAAATGATACAATAATTTCAATAGATAAATATATCTTTCACATTGTAAATGAATGCTTCCATTGAAAATTTTCAATAAAGTCAAAAAGTCCCTTACCGTGTTAGGAATCACACTTTAAAAGGTAAGACCTCGTTAGTCCTTAGCTTCTCAAGTTTTTCAACTTCTGAGAGTTGTCGGTCGTATTCGTCAGCTGATTAACGAAAAAACAGATTTCAAACAGTAATATTTTTTGTATCATATCATGAGAAATTTGAATTTATTCTATAGATAGATTGGATGTGTGATATATGAGTTTTGTAACAAATTTTGACAATATAACTTTTTTCGAAAAACTCTTTCATTACGAGCCCTGAGGAAATGACAAGATTTTTCGAAATCATCGTTCATGGTCAAGATTATGAACGTGTAACTTGCGTCTACGCTGAGCTGACAAATTTGGTGAACGTTGCAGGTAATAAACGTTAATACAACTCCGATTTTCAGTTTGAAAAAGTTTCAACATAGCTGTAATCGTAGTTTTGTCAATTCATTACTATGCTATGAGCATAACTTGAAACTGACTGGATTTTTTAAATGAAGCTCCTGAAGTCATAGCATATTTTGCAATCTGATTGAGCGAAGCTAATGATGATTCTCAACACAAGAGAAAGACTATATTTGATTTTTCTCTTACAGAAAGCATCGACAGGTATGTACACCAATTTCTAAAAAGTTGATATTGTGAAAGTCTACCAAGCTAATTTGATGTTGCTCCATCAATAATGATGTTTTCAAACAAATTTTATGTTGAAGTCTACAAGAAATTGAAAGTGGTACACTTAGGCTCTATGGCTATTTTTTATATATATTCTGATTTCAAATTTATGTTAATAATTGTGGTTATGAAATCAATCTCAATTTACGGAAAAACCGTTATGAAATATCAACGAAACATGAAGTTTCCGACATATAATGAGTTTTGTTCAACAATAACAAATCTATCAGAGTTGAACTTTTTTTATAGAATCTACGCGATTAACAAAGTTTCTAAAGATATGATATATGAATATCTATAGATATCCTCACTTTCCTGGGCCAAGATATGGAATGTTTTCCGTAATTCTCCAATACTTCTCGAAATTAGGTAGCGATAAAAAGTATTTGACTTTTTTGAAAAACCTGATTAGTAGAGATGAAATTTGCGGAATGTTTTTCATGTACCGAAAAATACTGGCAATTCTCAATGTCTGATCTGGGTAACGACATTTATATAACTGCCTCAAATTTAAATGCAATACATTTTCCGTTTGAAAGATGAATTTTTTGGTAGAAAGAAGTCGACACTTTTGGGGTTTGTAGACCATTGATGGCAACAATATCGATGCGGCAGAATATTATGTATATTTTATTTTAGGTATTATTTGTCGCTCCGTTTATTCAATTTTATAGGTAACTATATAACATAACGTATGTAACACACATAACGAAGAACGAGAGCTACTGAAAATCAGTGAGAACATGAAGCTCACTTTAAATAACATGGTTGAGAAAACCATACAATTTATTGAGGAAATCAATACATTCAATCAAATATGAAAAATTCATATTTTACCCTATGCGGGTCATCAAAATACGTGCATTTTGATTGATTTGGCTTGGTGTGAAAGGAATATGTGTTAAGATTATTTCTGGAAAAAAAAAACGATAATAAACCCAGAAAACTTAGTTTCAAAGTCCAAATTTTGGGATTTATGTGATATACTCAAAATTGTCAAGTTCTTAAAATTATAATTGCCTATCAGAAATATTGATGTTGATGATGTTGAGGGAAATAATTAGCAACTGTCACCGCCACTTTATTTAAAATTACTTTTACTTTAACTTGATACAACCTTCTTACGAGCGACGAAACAAAGCAACACAAAAAAGAAAAGAGGCTGTAGGGTAGTAATCCTTATGTGGCTTCCACTTTATCGAAATCTTCTACGAACGAAGGTTTCGTACAGGTAATATTTCTATTTATAGGTATCCACCATTAGATCATTATGAGCAATAATCGTGCATAGAAGTGAATTGCACGAATCTCTCAGTTTATAATGACCCAAGACTTAAGTGAAATCATTTGATCCGAATGAGAGTTGACGCAAGCTATGAGTTATAAAAATATCCTATAAGCTTTTTTCAAAGGTTTGGATTTTTAAAGGTAAATATTCGTTTTTCCCGTTAGTTAAAAAAATTGATTAGACATAAGCATTTACGTCTACTATCGGAGATACTACTCGTATCACTCAAAATTAAGAAAACCAACCAGTTCAAAATTCACTTTCGGTAACAAAAACTTGTAAAATGACAATTCCATTCCATTACTATCGAAAGAATGGAGAATGCCACCTTATTTCTGGTCTTTAGAATATGCCTTCCATAATATGTTCCATGTTAGTAGTTTGAGCAGTGTTTTACTTTCAAGAAGACCAAATTGACAAGAAACAAACAAGCTCGCAAACACATATGTTTTTCTATGGCAAAGATTTGTGAAATTTTCCAAATTTGGCACTATACTTTTCATTGCTTGATTTCTTCTTTCCGTGATATTATGAAAAACGAAAGCTAACCGACGATATAATTCAGAACACGATTCAAAAAAAGAGTTATTTTGGTGAAGTAGACGGTTTTTACTCTGTGAACGCATTTCAAATAGGTGAATATAGTTCCGCAGTATAGGATCGTGAAAAAAAAGGTGTCACTTTACTAGTTTTCATAATCAGAAATTAGTCAATGAATTATTCTATTTTTGAACAGTTTCGACATTTGAGTGGCAATGTCTCCGAAAGAAGACTGGAGCGCCAAGATTGACTTCAAATTCGTGATTAAAAGTCTAATTATAATTTTTAAACTAGCGCGACACTGACAAAAATTCACCTTACTATAAAACCCCGAAAACCTTTCCCGAAAATCAAAAAAACAATTCAGTTTTCCCACCTGTCCTAAGTTTCAGTCCCTCTACGAACCCCAACATGTGCGATTCGCTGCTAGTAATCCAGATATTCAGCCTGAAAACCGATCAGTTTCACGCGAGAAAAACCCTAGAAATCACTCGGGTCCTCATTACGAGTACACTCTGTCGGCACACGAAAAAAGTAGTAGGCGAAGAAGCCGCACACAGTCACACATACACAGAAGCTACGACACAACGCACGAGACACGTCCACTGAAAATGACCGATTCTGATTCTTGTGTGCACGGCAAACCGCGATGTGCATGCATCTCGCCTGGCCATCCGAGAGAGGTCTCGAGGCGGTGTTGCCGAACCATCGACGATGCGATTGATAAAATCGGCTGGAGGCTGGGGACTGACTGCCAGTGGCTGCTATTTGCGAACGGTGTCCGAAGTCTTCTAATTTTTTAGTTTGTCTGTCTTTGATCTCCCATAATCAGTTAATCAGGACGTCGAAGATGTAGAGAAAAAAATTTTTGCACAAAGTATTTGCAAAACTGAAAACCTCCTTTTTCAGAGAGATCCATAGTAAGACGTCAAATATTTTTACAGACTAAATGGTTTCCGAAGAATGCAACTAACTGTTAAATCGATTTCAAATGAAAACCTATCGAATCAATCTAAATGTTGAAGATGAATTCAGCCGAAACAATTTGAAGTTTTTACCATTTGACGAATATCGAGTCTTTGCTTCTCAAAAGATTTAGATAGGAATAGTACACCTTGTGAATTGTGATGAAGTACATATAAATTATTTCATAACTCTCTGAATTTCATATTTCATATTTGCTAATTTCTTCGCTCTTTTTTAGATTTCATTTTTACCTTTCCGACTCCTCTGAATTATTCGAATGATTTAGTGAAATTTAATACATACCTTCAATCCATTAAGTCGAGGAATCCAAGAGTTTTCGAGTCAGCGGAAACTCATGATAACCCATTAGTCAGGGAAGCTGTAGATTACACTATATACAACCCCCCCTTTTCAGAAGGCCCCGTCGCTCGGTTGAATGAAGGCCCCACGACGTCTGTTAAAATGAACATATGTACATATAACTCTAAGATTGTAGATAATTTCGTTGGTCAATTAAAATCCACGATGAAGTGCACACATTATGGAGACTCATCTGTAACCTTCGATACTTTTTGAGATTTGTCACTCCCCATACCACAAAGAACTGGCCAATTGAATTTATCACAGTGCTTGGATTTCTTCACAAGAGAGGAAACTTTGGATGGACATAAAAAACCGACGTGTTCAAGTTGCAAGGCAAGTTTAATATTGCCATCGAATTTCCTCTAGAACAATTATGCAGCAGAAAATGTGACTCCTTGTCGTTATAATCTATATGCACTTTTGAATCACAGTGGATCTACCTACAGCGGACATTATACAGCATTCTGCAGACAGCCTTATACTGGCACGTGGCACGAATACAATGATTCACACGTGTCACCAATTTCACCAAAATCGCTTGTGATTGGAGATGCATGCATCCTCTTTTATGAAAAGGAGGAAACAAGTTCGCACCTTTGAGCGTTTGGAAATGTTATTTTTGTACTGTTGTTTTTAATGTTATAACGAATTAGTTATGTAAGATTTATGTTATATTATATTTCAAATGAAATTAAAATCCGAAAACTTTCACAATAATTCTCAAAAACGTAATTCATTAATTGAGTATAGCTTAGTCACTTTTTATTCAACTGGTATTAGCATTAAAGAATATTCCTGGGTGAATTTGATTTTTATATCTCTACTTTGACCTAGCCAGAAAGTTTAGGAAAAATAAACTTATTTTTAACATAAAACCGATGTGATGATTCACAAACGAGGAAATATAACATAATTTGTAATTGACAAATAATAATTCAAAAAAAAACAATGATTTATTCCAAATGAAATAGATTTATGAATATTGAAAATTTCATCAGTCTTTGTAAAGTTTCTTTGACATATTCATTCCATAGTACTCGTACAATGCTTTGATTTATTCCAAATGAAATATATTTATAAATATTGGAAATCTCATCACTCTTTGTAAAGCTTCTTTGACATATTCATTTCATAGTACTTGTACAATGCTTTGATTTATTCCAAATGAAATATATTTATAAATATTGAAAATCCCATCAGCCTATGGAATAACAATAATTACGGAATTACAATAATTTTCAGCCTTGATTTAAAAATATGAACATTAGAGGATGATTTTATATGATCAGGGCCGTAGCGAAAAGAAATACCAGGGGGGGGAGGAAATCCAAATTTTCCCAACCCCATCAGCAAAATTTCTTTCGAAGAAATGAANCATCAATAATAATTCTTTCTCGGTTTTTAAGAAAACAAGTTCAATAATGGTGATCTATTCAAATCTAGTTGGTCATTAGAATGTTTGAATTTTTAAGTTTATTAATTTCCATTGCTTCCAAATGATTCAGTTTCAAACCTTAATTTTCTATGTGCAAAATTTCGAACTCTTCATTTAAGATTTGATTTTCTTCTAGAAAATGATTTGAATATGTTGAATTTGTTTTCTTATATACATATCTCGTATGATGTTCCTGGATTCGATTACTCAATGTCCTGCCAGTTTGACCAATACATACCTTAGGGCACGTTCCACAATTTAATTTATATACTCCTGATTTCTCGAATTTGTATGTTTTGTTTTTATTATTTTTAACTAGTTTTCCCAACGTATTACTTGTTCTATATGCAATTGTAATATCTCGATCCCTCAAAAATAAAGCCACTTTTTCCGTTGGTTGTCCAAAATACGTTGAAGCTCTATAATTTTATCTACCTTATTATCTACCTTATCAATGGGAAAAACGTCTCGAATCGCTTTTGTGTAGACTTTCTTGGCAAGTATTTTGTTTATTAATTCGGCTCTAAACCCATTGTTTACCGCAATTTGCTTGATGATATTAAGTTCTTTATCAAAATTATCTATTCAAAGAGGAACATTGACTAATCTGTGATTCATGCTATTATAAGCTGCTACTTTGTATTACTATGGATTTTCATCAAGTAACGGCCAAATCAATCAGAAAATCAAAGCATTTTTGTTTGCATTCTATATATACATTTTGGTTTCGAGTTTTAGCCAATTTCGTAAGAAAACAAATTTCCGTTTTCAGTTTTTCCTCATATCCAAAAACACCAACAATTTTGATGAAATTTCAAGTTGATTTTTTGGCTCGAAGATTCTTGTGCAATAAACATCCTAATGACAGAATGTTTCCTTTCTTGATGGGGAACATTTGTTCCAGATTAAGTTTGTGTCCCGTCTGTAGAAAGAACTGTAGAAATTTACTCTCAAAAGTAATGGTATAAAGAATTTTTCTTGCTATATTTTAGTTAACTTCGCGGTAATCGTTTGGTACTCGATTCAAGACCGTCGCCATTGGAGGGGGGTTCCCCCCTGCTTTTTCGACTTGGGAAAAAGTTAAAATTTATTTTTGTTTGTGCATACCCTAACGGGCATAAGCATTTAGCCAATCTTTGGATAGCTGGGTAAGATCATTAATATATTATAGTAGTAACTAATTAATCCCTAGGCTTTCATTTTTTCGAAAGTTAGGAAATTTTTCCCTCCTTGATTTTTCTTTTCGCTACGGCCCTGACTCGAATGAATCTGAAAAAGTTCTATTGCTTATTTGGCGAACGGCAGCATATTATAAAATGGTGAATGCGCGCACACATTAAAATACTGACAATATTTTCTCATACCTACCAAGAACTTAGTATTTCGTAGGTGAAATAATTTTTTGAATTATTTGAGTAGTTTTGGAGTTTATCCCTTACAAGCAAGCAAACAACATACAAAAATTCAAATATATCTTTAAAGTATTAGTTTTAATACAGATTTACATCAGAATTCGTTTTTGGGTTTTGGAAATAAGTGATGTAATTATTAGTCAATTACTTCATTGATGATAATTTAAAAAACCTGAAAATACGCCTTATTCAATCGACAACTTTCGGAAGCTACTAAAAACCACTTCTACTAGTATTTCATTATTCAAGAATTCTTCTAGAAAAAGTTGAGCAATATTCGGAACGTCCCAGAAGAAATGTAAGTGATAAAAATCACTTTTCACTGTATTGATTATTTAGGTGAATTCTAGCATTCGTACATCTCATTGTCGGTACACTATTTTGAATTATAATTCTGCAATTATTGTACAACAGTGATAAAAATAAAACCAAAGTTATGAAGTTGATGAATTGGCTAGGTATGCATGCCCTTAATAACATTATAATTTCGTAAATATCATTATTTGTATAACGATAACAATGAAGTATTTATTATTATAGAGGACATTCAACGAGGTTGTTAACCCATCAGATGATTATCTCACTGAGGTAGGTTTTGTTCCATTTCACTGATTGATTATATTATTGTTGACTGATTAAGGATATGAAACATCTTATAGTCAGTTTTGTTATTTATTTTAGAACTCATGACAGAAATTTTGTTCATAAACTGACAAAAACTAATTTAAACAAAAAACTAGGGCCTGCTTTCATTATTGAAATTCACCACTTCTAAAAAACTTATGATACGATTTTGGGTTAATTTCATAAAATCAGATAGCACTTCATTAAAATTTTTGTAAAACATTTTTCAACTCCGATATCTGACAATTTTAATTTTTTAGAAAGCGGAACATCAGACAGCCATTCCCAATTTGAGGTTAAAATTAATAATTACAATATAAAATTCACAAGTCTTTTCAGTTTATACATTTTGAAAACAACTATTAATGTAGTACCAAAGAATTGAAACCGTAGGAACTTATCAATAAACATGTGAATTATGTAAACTGTCAAACGGTCTGATGAAAACATTATCAACGACTCACGTTTGTTCAGTTGTCTCTCTTACATACAAGCTATCATCCAAATAATAACTCTCTCTGAATGAATGTAAACATTATAGTTTGTCTTCTTTTCACTCTAGAAGAAAAAGATGCTATAAGGTTAGAAGTATGGGTTTTATCGTGTATTTTATTGATGAGGCATGTGCATTCTTTCATCATCCCAACTGTATCTTCCATTGACAATAAAAAATAGAACTTATTTTTTTTTTAAACAAATGCTTCATCAGTTAAGATGAAGTTTATAACTTTCAGTTTACAAACTTCTGAAAATTTTAGCTCAACTGTTATTAACAACAGCTTTAGGAATATGAAGCCAAAAAACAATTTTTGAAAATAAA